GTTTCAATACGGCAGCCAACAAACAAAAAATAGAAGGAAAATTTATTTTACATTAAAAAAATAAAATAATTATTGGTTAATATGCATCAATGATTTCTGGAGGAGGAAATGTACCCATACTAAATCTATAACAACTGCATCTTCCATATTACTGTCAAAAGCCATTCTAAGTAGTATTATGAAACTTTCAGCCTAAGATCATCGATGAATACGAAATAAACTAACTTTTAGGACGCGGGCTGTGATTACTTCGTCGGCACCCACGGGGTCATTGTACCTTAGAGTAGGCTCGACAAAGGAGTAATTATTGCCCCCAAAACATTCGATCTCAAATGGAATCTATACCAATATCTTGGTCCTTGAACAGAATTCCTAACTCAAAGACAAATAAGTCAAATTGGCTTGGCCCTAAAAAAGCCGTTTTCGGTCACTTTGGGCTTTTGACGTCCACGCTCATCGACTGAGGCAATGCACGCAAACGTATGCTTCCTCTCCACTGTAAGCGGCACAACGGCTGTGTATTTGTCGCCCGCATTTCTGGTACTGGATCCATTGTTCCTCATCGTCCAAATCGACCGTATTCCACGCAGATTTGCAGACACTGCAACAGTTGGCCTTCATCAGTGATGCCGGATTGGTTTGCCTTCTGCGTTTAGCGTCCAGTTTGTACTTCGCTGATTTCGTTGTTGTCAGTTTTCGGAACACGGCATGCTCCCGTGGGTCACCTAGGACTATTTCGTCATCCTCATTGTCGACTGGTCGACTCACTAAAACTGATTTCCGCTTTTCAATCTAACCGCTTTTAGAAGCTACTGATGAATTATTGGTTCTCATTTTGAAGCTCGTAGACGGAAGACAGGTACACTTAATCTCCGTAGTCTGTGTTGCCAAGCTCTGTCTATCGAATATTATCTGGATGTCCGGGTTCTTCCCTATCATAACTGCCACACGTCGAAGTTGATTGCATTGAAAATTGTAATTCAGTATACCTAAACTATTCAAAGTGACTCCCAGCTCTTGAAAGACATCCTCTGTTTGAGCTAACTTTGATGGCTTACCCATGACGTTTCTTGAGTCCGCGATTACCACAGTGGAGTTCTGATCTGAATACTTTTCGCTGCGCTTTATAATCCACGCATCTGGAATAAGACTTTGAAAATCCCAATTATTCAGATCGAATACCCTGGCTATATGCAAGCAGAACAACAACCATAGCGCAAAAAAATAACATTCACAATTCGTTTTCCCTGCAGTAACTACTCTGTAACCCTTGCACTTACTATCCACGACCATGAAGAACCTTCTCTCGTGAACAATTCGTTCAATTTTACATAACTTCTAGTTACTTAATAAGATATTCCGCGCAAATGGTGTCACTCGTATAAGCAACGGTTTAAACGACTGCATGCCGCTGGGTGTCGGATACCCCCTCATGGAATCTTTAGCAAGGCGAATTCCATGCGTCACTTCC